TCCACAGCAACCACATCAGTGTTCTGAGTCCTTGGGACTCCATTTCAATCACTAACCTAACCTGCCTCTTGGCCAAGCCCAGCGAGACTGGGGATAGAAACCAAATATACCCACAGGTGAAGAACATAGAACCTTAAGTCAAGTACAGGCTTCCAAGACTCTGTCCTCATAGTATTTCTGCTCAACCCCAAAGGAGTGGGAACCATGTGAAAGCCACCATCTCCTGCCCTCTTCGTACCACCTCCCAACAGAGAAGGCAAGACTGGGCCCAAATGTGACAGGAAGTCAGCAACAGGGAGACCTGACAATTTCAGGAAGTCTGAAATTCCATCCTGGGTGCTTACCAGTTCCATTCAGTACATGACTTTGGAATGCCTTTCAGGTCCTTGGACTAAGGCAACAAAGATTGTATCTCTACCAAGCCAAGGGACACCATTTTTTAAAAAATTCCTGCTTCCTTTTCTGGACTCATACTTAGTTCTGACTAGGCAAGCTATATTAATTAGCATTAGCCAGCCACCCTCAGATCTGGGATGAAAGGCAAGAGGCCATGTGTAGTGTGCCCCTATTAATATTATTATTATTGTAATTATATTTTATGGCAGTTTCCCTAGCCTCTACTGCTCAACACTGGCTAATTTCTCCATTATAAAAAGTGGGCTCTTTTATTGGACTGTGTGTTTTGCGTTGGGTTTGGTTGAGTTTTACCAGCTAAGACATAATTAAGGACAGCAAGTGTCCAAGTGGTACCGTTATATACTCCAGTGTGTGGGAAAGCAAGCAATTGGAAAGAAAATGACCACTCTTTGCAGGCGTCCCGTAGGCAACCACATCCTCCCTCAGTCTTGGAACGGGATGTTAAGGCCGAATCTTCCACAGTGCAGATTCGCTGGGCTCCGCAGATTGCCAGTGACCACCAAGCAATCCGTCTTAACATAAACTGCCTCTGCCAGGCACGTTCCCTGAAAAACCCTGGCCCTGAGCACTCTGAGTGTTCACTCCAGTTTCGACTGCTGCCTGCTGTGATGTGTGGGCCAAGTAACCGCCTTGGGAGAAAAGGTCAAATGGACAGAAGGCTGCCTTATTAGGGAGAAACTGTGAGATAATGGCTCAACCTAAATGGCCAGTGGAAAGCATTCTCAGGGAAACAATCCAAGAGCCTGAGGACATAGGCCCGCGGCGTGCTTCCTTCAGCTCCTGATTTAGCTTGAGAATGGGTGGAGAGCAGAACTTACAACACAGCTCTGGAGTCTGACAAGCTGTGAGTTTACCACTTACCTTAGCTTCCCTAAGTAAGCCTCTTCATCCTCTGATGGAAAACACGGATGGTAAATACTAACACTCACGTGCTAGGCCTGTTGTGGTGATTAAGTTTGTCAACACCTATAAAGCGCACAGTAAGTGCTCAGTATTCAGGGTGGCCACCAAGTCTAGATCATAGAAAACTACATCAATGGTTTATTGATATTTTTAAAAATAGTTTATTTATTTATTTTTAGAGAGCGGGGACAGGAAGGAGAAAGAGTGGGAAAGAAACGTCAATGTGTGGTTGCCTCTCATGTGTCCACTACTGGGGACCTGGCCTGAAACCCAGGCATGTGCCCTGACTGGGAATCGAACCAGTGACCCTTTGCTTCACAGGCCCGTGCTCAATCCACTGAGCTACACCAGCCAGGGCTATTGATATTATTTTTTTACATGATAGAAAAATTGCTGTATCTCCAGACCTGGTGGCCACCTTTTACATTAGCTGATATTATAATTGAACGAAGTGCTCTGTGCTCCATGTTGAAAGACATGGAAAGGCCTCTTTGCCCCAAATTAATGTATCATCCCAGGTGCCTAGAATTCCCATGGGTGTTTAAGTTTTAAGGTATTACAGGCTTCTTTTACATGCAGAGCTCAATAAAGACGCCTACCCTTCCCCATCAACCCCCAGACAAATAAGCCATTCTTTCAATGGAAGATGGGTTTATCTCTCCGAGCTTGGCAGTCCATCCTGACAGGGACACTCCCTTGTAAGCCCTGATGGGCTTTCTGTGGAGTGGCCCAGACGCTCCATTATCACTGGGAACCAGTCTCAAACATGGAAAATGATAACCCTCCCCTCCCTTCACGTAGCCTAAAATAAGCTGTGCAGCATTGAGTATTCCATTTTCTTTTACTACTTAAGCCTCTTTAAACAACCTCTTAGAGATGCCAACGTGTGAGTTCAGCAAGGCCTTGCCTACACAGGAACTTTCAGCAGGGTGGTATCCACCAGGAAGCTGAAGCCATGTTAATTATCAGGCCAAAAGGTTGGGCTGAGGGGGGCACGGGGTTTCTGTAGGAGACATTCCATATTTCATGTGGACGAGCTTGATCCTTTAAGCTCTGAAAACACCCAGAGGGCAAACTGTCAGCACTATGCACAAGAATTTTGCCCTGAACAAAATGACCTTTGAGTTCTTAACTGGTTTCATATTCTTCAGGCCTCCGTGTACATACACCTCTACGGTCACTCTCTAACATCTTAAATGCATTTATTTGCTGGTAGGGTTGGCCCTCTCTGGCCAACAGCCACTGATTAACATCTCATCTGAAAACCTTGTAGAAACGTAATCCTTAACAACATGGGGAAGTTCCAAGCAAGCCAACACATTGTATTGATTTGCAGACTTCAGCCCACTGCGAGCATCCTCCTCGCTCCATCACTGTGGTCTTCAGTGAAAACCCACTGAGGCTCTAGAATCAAGCTGGGCATCTTTCTTGCCATATCGTCACAGACGCGGAGTTCAGAGGCTGATGGGTGCAGAGCACGGTGCTGAAACAGGGAATAAAATATCCGTGGACAGTAATGGGACCTTTTTTAAGCTTTGAAATCAAGGCGAGATCTTCCACTCAGGACGTCTTTATCTAGAGAGCAAACATCTTTTTCTCAGCAGTAAGCCAAAGCAGCATTTCTCTTAAGTTGAAGACTTAGACTATGGGCTTTTTCTACCTTTTTACTGCTGATGTTGGGAACAGATACACCAGCCCTCCACAGTCTAGGACAGGCCCTTGGGGACAGACAGGCCTCTCTGTGTCTTTGGGTGACTCAGATATGTTCCCTAGAGCTTCAGTTTCCCAGGTCGTGACAGAGAGGAAACACAGGCCAGCGGGGCACCTTAGAGGACCGTGGGGATGGAAAAAGTGGATCGATACATAACTCTTTCTTTCCTCCTCTCCTTTCACCTTTGCCCAGCCAGCTGGCTACGAGGGCAGACATTCCGCCAGCTCTTCTATCTGTGGTAATGGAAAGCAGAGACACCTAATCCCCAAACTTCATCTTAGACTCGCTGTAGTTGGAAACCTCTACCTGCATCGGAGCTGCTGGCGATTAGCAGAGCGGGTGGGCCTGCGTACACGGTCCCGCCTTCCCTTCAAACAGATGTGCTAAGAGGTGGAGAAGGGGGCTGGATCTGAAATCTACGAGGAAAAGTTGCACACAGGGCCTGTCTAATCCACGGACTGGATATTCGGCCTCCGATGGAATCAGGGGTCGGCTGGGGGTGTGGTATGCCGGATGCAGCAGCAGCACAGTGAATTCAGCTCCAAGTTGCGCCCCTTCGTGCCACCACCAATCCCATTTAGGGAGGCCCAGTGGCAGCTCCAGGCCCCTGATCCAATTAGGAAGGCATGGCCCTCCTGTCATCTCTGTTATAAACATAGGATTGAGCATGAGAACCTGCTTAACCAGTGAGCCAGACCCGCATTTACAATCTAATTGTTGCCAGGTACATCATGTTACCCAAAGAGATTGTAAGCCTCTTCCAGGGACGCGTACTTATTTGCTATAATTTGCTGGGAGCTGAGAGAAGACCAGTCCCCACCTACATGTTTCCTGCTACTTACCTACTAGAAACTCTGAAATTTCATTCTATCAAACTTTTATGCACGTGAAATGCTATCGTGGAAAATGCTCTCACTTCACACAATTCAGAAGCGCAGAATAACAGGCGTCTTTGTCATTTTATTACATATCACCATTACAGAAAGACCCCAGTAGCAAGAAGACAAAGGAAGAGAGCTTCCTCTCTGCACATCTCAACCATGGGTCTCAATAAACGCGTTGTAAGATGAACAAGATCACACTCCCACTTCGCCCTGGGGTCCAAGGGCCCCAAGTTGCCCTGTGAGATTAGGAGTCATGTTTAAAACTGCTCTGGGTTTGAGAAAGGAGTTTCTGCATCTCCTTATTTCTTTACCCAGCACCTTGGTATCAGAGGAGAGCTGCACAGACTGTGAGGCCGACTTCAGTTGATTTAATGTCACATGCAAATAAGGACAAGATCACAGGCCCGTCTCCAGCTGGGGCTCGTGAACTTTGTGGAGTAGAAAAACTCCCCAGCTTTCCGTCACACACCTCACCCCAGAGAGGGAAGGAAGGGGATCCTTTCCTTTACTCTTATCTCTAAATCGTATCTTTCTCTGGGGGAAGGATGATGACTATTTTTTGACCAAAGAGGAGACAGAGATGTGAGGATGGAAAGAAGAGACTTCACCGAGTCCAAGTCCTAGCAAATCCAGCCACCAGTGTGTGACTTTGGGCAAGTCCCTTGCCTTCTCTACCCCATAATTTTCTTATCCATAAAACGAGAATAATAAACTTCCCGTTTGACTGGGCTTTTCAGGGAATCGAGTGAGAAAATCAATTTGCCCTCCACACAGGACACGCTCAACAGGAAGCTTAACTGTCCTTCCTCAGTGGTCTCATAGGTTGGGAGCTTTGTTTGGTAGCCTATGTGTATCGTGCGACAGCTCCTAACCCATTTCTTTCAGTCTGATTCCTCTCATTGTCCAGCCTAAATGAGCCCCAAGGGTCAAGATGAACAGATGACCTGTCCCCCAGCCCTTCTAGGAGGCCCCCAGCAGTTGTTAGGAGTCCTGTACTTTCCAGAAGAGTGAATCGGATCACTTGACTGCTAAGAAATGTGGAATTCTCTGCAGAAGGCCCAGCTTGCTGAAAGGCACCCAGGCAGGCTCACGTCAGCCGCACACGCACTAAAACTGGAACGATACAGGGAGATGACCATAGCCCCGTGTGCAAGGATGACACACAAATCTGTGAAGTGTTCCAAATTTCTGTCAAAAAATGACAACACCAAAGCAAAAAAAGTTAAAGGCACCTCAAGCGGCTCTGCCCAAGCAAGGGAGCCCTGAAGATGCTCAAAGTGAAGAACAGGATGGCTTCGTGCACCGAGTGTCAGTTTATAAAACACAGACCTGCTCAGGGCCTCCCACGGGAATGGGGGCCCCCAGCAGAGGAGAACTTAGAAGAGAATTTCGGACTTAGTATCATTGGGGCATCAGGGGAGGGGTAGCCCGGGCAGCTTCAGTGTGGACCCCGAAGTTTCCGTGGGTGGGGCTGTAGCTAAATCAAGCTGCGTGTTGGCAGCTGCCTGGTGTCTGTGCTCATGCAGAAGAGCCAGCCAGCCCCGCACGGGGGTGAGAGGCAGTCCCAACAACGGAGGTGAGCTTCCCGCCTCTTCAAGAAGGAGAGGGCGACCGCCTTTTACAAGACCCCCTTTGACATTTTATTTAATGGCCTCCTCTAGCTCAGGAAAAAGAGTCTAAATGACCGCCCAAAAGCAAACGCTCCACCAAGCACCACCCCTCCAAGCCCTCCCTCCAGGGCCGTCGGATTCAGGAGGCATTCCCGATCAGCCCTTTGGAAAGCCAGACTGCACATGGTCAAGTCAACGACAAGGGAAAAAATGCTCAGTTTCTTCTGCTTCTTAAAAAAAATTTTTTTTTAGTGTGTGAGGGGGTTACTTTACAAGTTTGGTCAATAAGTATTACCCAATTTTATTATTAAAAAAAAAAAACCTTTCATTTCCTAGCAGTTTGTTATGCCCTCCGGCCAAATAAATAAAAAATCCCCCGCTGGTGGATTTCTTGGTCGCTGATATACCTGGCAGTATAGGGCATCATGCAGACATCAACCAATCTATCGGCAGTGGGACCCGCTTCAGACGGATTCACCCCGTTAGAACGCAGTTCTGGAGGCAGACTGCCTTGCCTGTCTGCACACTACCTGCCTAAATTGCTCAAGCTAGGCCCCAAATGGCTTCCTTAGAAGACAAACTCTTCTCCAGATGTTTGCACATCCTTGGGCTTTTGCTGGGACCACAGAGCAGAGCAGTGCTTTATAATAATGCATGCCTGTTGTTCAGCGGGGGCAGACTGGGGAGGGCAGGCCAGGGACGGCCAGGGGGAGTGGGCCTGCTCTCCAAATCCCCACTCCAATGCCAGCCTGCCAGACTGTGCACACAGACATGACAGGGGATTGTAAAAACGCACCCTAAACAATGTGGCTAATGTACCGAGATCCCCTGCAAAGAAGCTCAAGGGCAAGTGAGGAAAGGCCTGGATGTAGCCAAGTCCACATGGAGTACCCTAAAAGGAGCAGCTTTGGGGAAGAAGCTTAATCTGCTTCCTCCGTCAATCCCCTTCTCCAGAGAGAACCAGGGAGGGGCTCACAAGGAAAAAGACAGCCGGTTCTGGCTTTCCCTTCCACTAGCCTGTTAGCCATTCAGGCAGAATTTCTTTACACAATGGAGAGTGAAATGTGAACCACGCTGCCAACATCAGCAGGACAAGCAGGTCTTCTATGTTCTGCTCAAGAGGGGCCTGGACACATCTCAGAAAGAGCAGGGAACCCAAAGCCTGGGTGGACAATCACAAAATGCAAGTGAATTTGTGTTTTACAGAGGGGAGTGGGAGCACCCGGCCCTTTCCGGAATCGTAAGAACTACCATCACTCTGGGTTTTTTAAATACGCAGGTCAAAATTCTGACAGGGGTGTGAGGATGCCTTTTCTAATAAAGAATGTTCTAAAACAGTTGATGATAATAATAGTAATCATAATTTAATAGCATTGTGGTACTTCTCACATGGGTCTTGAGGTCGCATCTAATTATACAGATAAAGAGCTGACTCCCAGAGAAATCAAACAAATGGTGTCAGATCATTCTGTTCACTAGCGGCACAGCCAGGACCCAAAGCCCAGTTCCAGACTACTGGGACCATCATCATCATCATCATCTTCAAAAGAACAATGAGTATCTCTGAATTCGGGGGTTTTCCCTTTCCTGGACCCTTTGCAAAAGGTGGGGACAAGTTTACCCTGAGGGTGTATTCACACCATTTGAGCTAGAGGGAAAAACCAAAGATGGAAATGTTTTGCAGAAGTTTGTTTCATTTGAAAGCATGGGAGTTGGTGCATTGCTCAGCTATTTTGAAGAGGAGTGAAAATGTGAGTTCTGTGGATAAACCTGCAATATAAGGTGCCACCATTCTAAAGTTTTCTTTTGGCCTTTTGTTTCTTCCTTTTTAATTAAAAAAAATCTACATCTCTCCTTAGCTTGGAAATTGAAGAGAATTTATCGACAAAAGGGGTCAATAATGATGGCAGAAACGGTTCTAGACTCAGGCCTGGATTTGGGGTTGAGGACAGGGAGATGGAACAAAAGAGAACCAGGGGCAATAATGCTTCCGAGGCTTTGAAATGTAAATGAGACAACTCACTTGGGAGGGGGGTATCGGAGGCCGGGAGTGGATGGCATTTGAGTTCGGGTGTCTTAATTTTGTGAACAGGTGTTGAACCAAACTCCGGTCAGACATGCAGTATCTGGGGAGAGTCTGCTCCCGTCCCAGAGTCCCAGATTCAGAACATACTAAAATGAAGTCCTGTGATGAGGAGTCAGCTTTTTAAATAATTGTTAAAACCCAGAAAAGGTTCAGAAAACAGACACTCTCTCAGAAGACAAGCTCTGGGTGTCTCCACTTCTGTCGCTGGCTGTCTGCCTGGCGACCGACCCAGAGGCCCAACTGGGAACCTCACCACAGCACAGGCACTTTTTTTTTTAAGGGGAATAACATATAAATGTCACAAAGTAAGAATGAGACACTGCAGTCTTGGTTTCTTTATTTCCTGAACTGCTTAAAGGACAAAAAGTGGTTTTAAATGGACTTCAACCTAGACACTGGCTAGGGACTTGTGGAACACATAGAGTGCTTAAATTCAGACTTCTTCACGAAGTTTCACTGCTAGACATATAAGTTGTTCACAAATGGCAATGCAGTTCAGTAACTATATAGTATATTTTTTCTATTATGTTTTTTTTTTATGTTTTAGAGAAATCATCCGAATTTGTACACGTATTTGTCAGGTAATCTATGGATGAGCTAATGCAACTATTTCAAAAGGGAGGCAAGACATTGAAAATTGATTAGGGGTAAAATTTACTAAAAATATTTAAACAATATTTTAGATCTACAAGCTCATTCTGTTTTTCTAGGTGAAACCCTCTCTAGAACCTGCTCTTCTATGGTGTCTGATATTTAAATGAAAAAGAAGAAAAAGAACAAAATCATTCAAACCAGGAATGCATAGAAGCTTCTAAAGAAGCAACTGAATCGTTGCTATCATATGTATTTTTCAAATCTTTCATATCTTCAGGGAGGGACTATCTTGGAGCGTCAAATCAATATACAGAATGATAAAATGACATTTCTCTGAAGAAGCAGTGAGCTCAAATACGCTATCACTGCAGTACCTAAAACAAATGGAGCTAGAGTAGAGTTTGGGATTTTTCTGTGCACCCTCATCCTGCCTTCTCCCACCCTAAGAATGTCAAGAATTTGAACTCCCTGTTCTTAAGGTGAAAGGGCATTAATTAACTCAGATCTGTTCATGAAGAGGAGAGGTGGCGAATCCTGAGACACTGGAACCATACCTTAAAATCTCCCAAGTTTGCCGGGCTGGTGTGGCTCAGTGGACTGAGTGCTGGCCTGTGAACCAGAGGGTCACCGGATCAACTCCCAGTCAGGGCACGTGCCTGGGTTGCGCTGGGTCCCCAGTGGGGGACATGTGAGAGGCAACCACACGTTTATGTTTCTCTCCCTCTCTTTCTCCCTCCCTTCCCCTCTCTAGGGGGGAAAAAACCCCTACCCAAGTTTAAAATGGCAATATGTGGTGATTTACTTTGGTGCCTTGAAAGTAACTGAAAACATCCAAATTGTAGATCATTAATTAGGACCCAGTAAGACCTCCATTTGCATCTCAGTGATTCTCGACTCCTTTATTTCAACATTTAGCTTTAGGTTTAAAATATTTGCTAAGAAAGCAGAAAGGTGATTAACAGATTTTTTAAATGTGTGCCATAGTTACACATTTGGTCAACAGAGGAAAAGGAAACTATACAGCGTAAGTTACAAAATGGTTATTCTGTGTTTCGCGAACATTCCAATAATTCCAATAAACTCTCCATGATGGCATTATTCGACAGCAGGAAAGCAAAAACAGAAATGAACTCAAGAGCCAGCCCAGCTCCTTAACGTCTTGCAGAGAACCTCGAGGGACCCCTCAGCTGCAGTCCGCCTGGGAATCTCAGAGGACACCTTCCCGTATCTCCTACGAGCTCGTTTACTCGAGGTGCACAGGGAAGAGGAAGCTGCAGCTCACTAAGGGGCCACGGAAGTCACTCCCACCCCAGAATAAACTCCTCCGGGCTACATGCAGGGCTCCGAAGAGGCCCAGGTTCCCAAAGGAATCAGTGTGGACGATCTGGAGTTTGCATATTCGGGTGTTGTTTCTTGTTAAACTCCTTTTTTCTTAAATTAGCTAGAGCTACCAGGTTCTAGAAGAGCATGGCCACCACTTTGATACGATGTTACTGGTTGTTTTTTTTTTTTATATTTTCACTTTATTATTATTTGATATTATTATTCCAACAGATTAAAGGCAGTGGATCACTAACACAGAACACAACAGAGCTAACAATCAGCCAGGCTGCTCCCAGGACCAGGTCTGTCCGGCCTAAGGTGCTGACATGCAGGTGGTAGCTCATACACTGCTACCCTCATAGCACAGACTGCGGGGGGAGTGAACGACAGATGCTGCTGTACCCTTAGAAGCTAGTTAATAAATATCATCAGAAAGCAAAAAGGGAAAGAAGCCCTCCGGAGCACAATCACCTTAGGTCAACTGAATGTCATCTAGTTTATTCAACCAAAAATGGAGAGAGAAGGAAAACATTAAACAAACAAAAAAAAAGCGGAGCTTAACACTAGCAGTAAATAAATTTGTACAACGATTCAGTCTGTATAATATGATGAAATAAATCTACATCTTTTCTTATTTTGGTGCTTTGAATTATACATACAAACAACAATTACAGGGACTTGATCACGCAGCATGTAGGCCTGGAAAAGGCTATCTGAAACCCTCGGCGGCAAAATGTGAGTGTTAACACCAATTGCCCAAACTCGTAGAATTTCCTAAGCAGAGGCCCACAGCTTTGAACAAATGATTCGCCTACAACTTTTTTTTTGTTCTTTTTTCTTTTTTTTTCTCTTTTTTTAATGCATCAAACACCTGTGGCCAGTGAAAGGCAGTTTGTCCATTTGGACATCAGATCTAGTTTCTTCTTCATTTCCAACCTTGATTTCCCCCATCTTCCTTAAAATTCTTGGCATCCTTTATGCCTTCCTTACAGCTACCCAGATGCAATCAAGTCTTCTTCAAATGTACAGTATTTCTTACAATATAAGTTATATGCAATGTTCGGCAATTTTTTTTTCACAGCACTAGAGAGACCCTGTTAAATAGGGAATATGAGTCTGAATGGCTTATTCACAAATGGGATCCAGATTCAGTGATTGGGAATGCAGACACCACAGTGAGCTCCTCAGCAAAAGTAGCAAACATCATTTTGCCTTCTGCCTTCAAAAACCAGATATCCATCAGTTCTCGATTTCATGATATGCTCCTGCAAAAATGCACGTAGAAGGGGCCGGAGGGACTCTCGCCTGGAGACCTTTACACATCGAGCAGAGACTCTAACCCATGGCGGTGACCATACTGGAAGGGTGGTGAGGTCCAAAGGAGAGGCTGGACGGCGGGTGCATCGGCGTCGGAGTGGTCAGCATGTGGCTGGAGTGGCTGAAGGGTGAAATGTGGCTGAGGGAGGACATGTGTCTGGAGAGGGCAGCAGGGTTGAAGGAGCTGCTCTTGGGGAAGTCCTCCAGCGTGTCGTGCACCTTTTTGCACTTTTTGGATTTGCTAGACATTTTTCGGTTTCTGGTCTGGATGCCTTCCTTCTTCATAGTCAGGGGTCTGTTAATCTAAACAAAGATCAATTTTTTTTTTTTTTACTTTTTTGCTGGCTCTGAAATGGTGCAGGCTTCCATACCCCAACATGGGTTCCTCTGACTGCCCCAGCCAGGGATCTGCTTTTGGGGGACCCCTTCCTCCCACTCCTTCCTTCCTCCTTCCCGGGAACCCAGAGTCCCGCAAGCTAGGTCTGTGGCACAGTTCTGTCAGCCTCTATTGGTTTCAGAAACTGAGAGACCGTAGGAAAGGTGTTCCAAGCAGAAGTTACTAATTATGTTCATCCAAATCAGTCGTTCAGGGAGAAATCCGCCTCAGGGACCTCTGTGATCCCAAGGACCACATCCTAGAGACCCACCCAATATGATCATACTTCCCTAAAGTACAATAACTTGTCTTACTCCACTAGAATCTCCTTAGAATATTTCCTGAGAATGGAGGTAATTGAGGAATCTTCCAGGGGAAATAACATTTTGTCTACTCGTCTGAAGTCTGTGTCAGGACTTGAAAGGCACTGCCAGAGCAACCTGTCTCAAGTGTGTAAGTCCCTACCTTCCTTGAGAAACCAGGACTGCACCCCAATTCAAAGTAAACTGTGACTGCCTCTGTTCTACCTGGCCTTTTCACAGTGACAGGTGCCGTCCAGTCTTCCTCAGGAATTTGTATGTTCTGGGGTCATATTTTAGTACAACACGTGTTTCCAAAAGGTCACCTCCTGCCCACGTCACAGCAACAGCAATGACTGAGAATTCTAGTCTCTACCTAGTCTGACTAAGTGCTTAAAACTAGACACACGGCTAAACCACCAACCAAGAAGTATTTAATAACCACTTAGGGGTGCAAAGTACTGTGCTAGCGTGGACGTAAACTCATCCTAAAAATCAAAGGCCAGGAATGAACTCAAGAGACAGAGGCAAAAGCCTACTTGGAAAACCTCTTCAGCCTCTGAGACAGCATAGCACACCTCTCTTCTTCGTAAGACTCATCTGTTGTGTTTTCAAAATACATTTGCTTCGGAGGGTGAGGTGAATCCTCCCCCGAAGAGGGAACATGACCAAGTCGCAGAGACCAATCTCTACCAAAAGTCAGAATCCAACTGACAGCAACAGCAGTCATCTGTCCCACTAACACACCATGTATTTGCCCATGTATCCAGAGAAATATGCCAAAGCAACTCCCAGAGCAAATGTCAGGGTCTAGGTCATTCCTGGCTTTTGGGGGAAAAAGTGTCCTCTTCCTCCATGGCCCTCAAGGGTGGAAAAAAAGAAGAAGGTTCTCATGATTCCAGGGTCTACCTGTCTGCTCAAAAGCAAGCAAATGGCAGTTAAGGAAGAAAGAACTCCAGCAGCAGGGAGGGACAAGCTGCCAGCTGTACTTCTGGGAGCCACAAGCACACAGCCTCCTGGAGCTGAGCTGGGAGAGGTCCCCGAGGAAGGAGACAGAACTCGCCCTGAGCTTCGCCCCCCTGGTGCCAGGAAAGCAACGTGAGTGATAGCAGAGGAGCTAAAAGGTCGTTGCCAAAAAAACATCTCTGGGTTCCTTCTTCAAAGTTATAATCAAGGTGAAGGTGCTGCCTACATAGGTGATAGGAATCTACTGTCACATCAAATCTTCCCCCAGATAATGTCTAGACACACAGCTCTTTACCGGGGTATCTAGATACGCACAGGCAGGTATCTAAATATAATATCTAGTTACACAGATAGCCACCTGGACCCAGATAACTAGTCCCAACACCACCGAGATACACTGATACTGAGATAGGTAGTTATCTAAACACCCAGATAAGCAGAAAGCAGCTAACTTATGGCATATACATACACAAGTGTCTCAATGGGCAGAGCCAAAAACACAGAGAACGCTAATAGATTACTATCTCTTATTGTTAAATATACATAAACAGCCTTTTTGTGAATTCTTACTAAACCAGAGAAGACAGAAAAACCACTCTTGCTGATGAGCAAGCTTCTCTCCCACTGGAGCCCAGCCACGAAGTCAGAGCTGATGAAGAACAGCAGAGAATAAGCTGGAAGGAGGGTTCCCAGTCTTTTCTGCGATTTGATAAGAACTTCCTATCCTTCAGAAATATTTTTCCTAGACTGGACACAAACTGAGATCCCATCTCACGGCGGCTAAGGAATCAAAGAAATTTACGGCTGCCTGATCTACCATAATTCCCATACTTTTATGGAAATGGGAAAGAATGGGTGACCACACACAATCCGCTGCTCTGCATTGAACTTGGGTACGTTCTAAACCGAGAAAGCATGTACTTCCCACTGGCCCCCGTCAGCCCCGATGCTTCACAGGAAAGCTGCCACTCTGACATCGGTCCTGCCTCGCCCACTTCACCCGCACGTTCCCTTGTGCAAATGCTTGCTTCTTTAAATCATAATTCTTGACGTAAACTGGAAATAAAAATAACTTCTCCCCTGTCTACCTCATGGAACTACTCGAGGTCCCATTATGCTCAAGTAACATGAAAGTTCTTTGAAAACCATGAATTACAACCCTAAAATAATTTTATAGGTTGTGCCGATGACTAGGTAGCTCACAAACTCTAATGCCCCAGATTTTCCAGATTTCAATCACAAATCTGCTTATCTCCACTGTGATGAGCAAGTAAATTCCCCCAAGTAAAAACAGGACTTGAGCTTCAATGCTGAGCAATGCAGACAGACCACAGTCCGGGGATCTGAGAGAGAAAAACCAACTGTAGGAAGGACTCTAGCTCCATTGGTGCCGGCTCTGCTCGGGCACCGTGTCAAGACAGGGGCCATGGAAGGCAAGGAGGTGAGTTCTAAAGGTTCCCCGGGAACCTCACCAACTCGTTCCCCAAAGGTAAAAAAGGACAAGGGTGCTGGGGTCACCCTAAGAAGTTCCCCTGTGACTCAAAACTGTAACCAGAAATGCTTCCTCCCCAATTCCCAGGTATTCCTGGGTAAGAAGGGGTGACTGCCAGAATGGCCGGGAGCAAAAAGCTCTCTGCCTTTTCCCTGTTCAACCCCAGACTTTGCCAAAGTTAAGCTGGCCAAGGGATTTTACGAAGATCCAGCAGAGCCGAAGAAGAATGTGAGAACAAGAGGGAAATGAAAATGCTGTCTTTGGGACCCAGGCAGACTGCAGGCCTCATGAGGTCAAGGCCTGTCAGCCAGAGTTGTCTGGGAAAGACATTTTTAAGGTGAAGACACGGCAACATGGGAGGTCCCCAAATTAAAAGGTTAGAAATGACACCTAAACCCAGGTGACAGACAGGCAATCCTCATTGTGCTAATACCATACATAGAAGTAAAGGCAGGGTTTCTGTTCCCTAGTAACCTCTCATTTTCTTTCATGGCTTCTGTACAGAGAATCCAATCAAAATTCACAGCACAGGGTAAGCCAAGACTTTTGCCCCTCAGTAGCTGAATCTCATCCTTTTTGCTTCAGGAATGTATGTGCCATGCATTACAATTCTAGTTACTTTTCTCTTTCTCTCTCTTCCTCTTTTGTGCCATCAGCATAAACCAGAAGGAAACATAAAACTATAAAAATGGTCACCTTTTTTGTTGTTTTCCAAGGGAAAGATTTTTTCGCTCTAAAACCCAGACCAGTCCCGCCACCCATGCTGGACGGCTGCATCGCAAACAGTGTTCCCCGCGTTCTCTACCGGGAGGGCTGGCTGGTCCTATCATTAAACTGTGCGCTCTCAGCAAGGCCACACTGTGCAAAGCAGTTCCCTGCCCTGGGTCCTGCTGCACTGATTATTATCTGGCCTCTTGTTTGGCGCAAAGAATGGCAATGCAGGTCAAGAAGGGGGACCTGGGAAGGGTGAGTGAGACTGTGCACCGGGCCTTGTCAGCGAGGGAGTCAGCTGTGGCTGGTCCCCATGACACTTACATTGTGCAGCTTGTAGTAGAGCCCGCAGGCGTTGCAGACAGGATCCCCATTGGCATTCCTTCTCCAGAGAGTGGTAGTGGTGGTTTGACAGTTTGCACAGGACGTTCCTGCCCTTCTTGCTGCCGACTGGGGAGTGGGGAGAGGGGAGGGGAGAAAAGCAAAACGTATGTAAAAGGTGTTTTCAGAACTACAGAGACAGACTTAAAAGATTATCATAGAAACCAAAACTAGCCAGTGGCCCATGTGAAAATAAGGAAGACCCCCAAAAGCGGCCTCGAGAAGAAAAATGTAGCCAATCCATTGGTGGACGAGTGAGTCGGCCTGTAGCCAAGCAGTCAGAATTTAGCTGACTATGCTCCTGTGCAGAATTTGGGAGGACCAGAAGGCCGACACCACCGTCTGAGTTAATTTGCCCCCTATCCCCGTCCCACAAAGTCCACCAAAGAGTTCATTTTTATGGGTGCAATTTTGGATTAAGCAGACTAGTTTGGGTCCCGGGCTTTCAGTGGCCTCACTCGCCAGGCCCACAAGAGCTTTTCAAGGACAACTGCTCTGATACCACTTCTCAGCGAGGCTCCTGGACATCGCAGTTACTAACAGCAAAGCAGGAGCGATCCTCAAAGCATCAAAAGCACTTCACAGACCCCATATCAAGAAGTGCTGGCTTAGAAAGGGAACAGAGTGCTAACAGAGGCGAGAGCCTGCGCACGCGTGGGGTCTGCACTCGTGGGGCGTGTGATGTAGGAGCCACAGGCAGGACTTCTGAAGTGGACAAGACCTCAGCAAGTCTGCCGCAGTCCGAACTGTGCACGGCCCAGGCTTTCAGGCTTGGTCGCCTTTAGACTTTGTCACTCACAGTGACAGCCATCCTCTGTCTCTTCAGGTGGCTTTTAGTTAATGAGCCAAACTATAAAGAAGAAGGAATTTAGGTCGTCAACAGGAGCGCAGCCCCTCCCCCTGCTCTCATCTCATTCCACCTTCTGGAAATTAGGTATTTTCTGTTTGCCGTTCACAGAGCACAATAGTGCCAGGTCAAATGTCAGTCTCAACTTGAATTTTAATTATTTGATTGTGTCACTGCCTACATTTCTTTTGAAAGGGAAATTTGTTTTTCACTTTTTTGACACACATTTATATGGGGATTATTCTCTATATGAACCCTGTGAAAAAAATAGTAAACTCAAAAACTTTTGGAAAAAAAAATAGGTCCCTTCTAGCACCCATCCCGCTCACCTCCTCGGCCCCGCCCCCGACAACATAAAAGAATGCTTTAACTACAAAATTATTCCTGCACCTGAAGCCAGAAAAACTACCAAAGGCAAGAGGAAGAAAAAGACTTCGGCTAGCTTGATCAGAAAAACTTCTGGTGTGGTTATAAATGCATGGGACAAAAAGGACAGGAATTTCCATCAATATTTTATCAAGTGAAACATTGGGTCAGAGATCCGAAGCTGCCAAGTATGGAAAACTCAGTGGCAATTCTCGATTCACCAGACTGATTCCTTTCCTTTCAAAGCCACTAACTCGTTCCACAGATACACTTCTCCGTCCTACGGGCTTAAATGCTAGAGCCCCCCCCCTTTTTGTAGTAGTAGTAATTCTTTATTTTCTGCATTCTAAGGAACTGGGAGTTTAAAACAGCCCTTATCTACCATAATCAAAAGGATTCTACTTTTTGTCTGTCCGTGGTGAAAATACTTCAATCCAGCCCAAGAGCGCTGCCTCCAACCCCACCCGCCTAAATTACAAAATGTGATCATTTAAGACTTAAATAACTGTTTTTTCTGTACTCTTGGGAAGAAAATAATACGTTAAATCAGTGCTTAATGATTTTGACAATTATGTTATTATGTGATTATTGTTATCTTCCTGTGCTTTTTTTCCTTTAAAAGAAATACCCGGATATAGTAGACTAATATCTACTCAGGCACCGGATTTCCCAGCCCGACAATTTGGAATGTGTCACACAAGGCACATGAGGCCAACCGGTAAAATTAAAGCTCCAAATGATGAGGTTCACAATGTGTCTTCTGCAGTATAGTGACAAGTTTCATAAATAGGAGCAGACTCAGAATACATCTCCCGTCTACAGACTTTATGTGAATGTATACGGAACCTCTCAAAGGCGTACTGTTTGGTTCACCAGCAGGATACAAAATGCGTTAATAAAACAAGCAACTCAGCTGGTTGTTAAACCTACGAAAACCCCGGAGACACTGAGGAAAGAATTCTATGGCCCTTGCCTGCAGCCTTTTCTCCTACTTCCTGCATGAGTTTACTCAGTGTTAGATACTCGTCGGACAGAGCAGCTAAGCTACAGGTTAGGCTGGGCAGGCGGTCATCAGTGAATCTGCAAATGTGCAGAAAGGAAAATAACAAACTACAGAGACAAAGCTGGGATGGAGGGACAGAAAATACAGGAAAAGAGAAAAAGGTTCTGGGTACTCACACGTCAAATGCATTAAAGGGCTTAAAAAAAATCCTGAATGTGCTCTGAGCATCTCTCAGGGATGGAGCATATGAATTTCTATGGAACTAAAAATATAAAACCACTCAGAAGAGATGAGTAAGACAGAAAAGACAGCTGAAAATGTGACAGCCAATGAACTCTAGAATTCAAAGTAATTGTTACTCAGAATCTAGAGGTTGTGTATGAAAGGTGAATGAAGACAAAATTATATAAAATGCAAGTAGAGTCTCCTATGCGATCTGCCCATGCTCTGAGACTTCACTTCCTCTTTTTCCTTCTTTACTTCTACCTTAAAAAAAAAACCCTATATAATAGTACCATAACTTATTTTTAACAAAAAGGTTTTTGTTGTTAGGTTTTTCTTTTTTTCTCTCTTTTCCTTTTTTTTTTTTTTTTTTTTTACGAAGGCCAGGTTTTGAGTGATTCAGAACATTCTTTTGCGGTGTGATCATATTCATTCTGTGCTAACACCTCCAGCCATATTTTTTCAAACATGTCTTGCTCTGATCCGTTCAAACATCTTGACGTTTAGGTTAGGGAAGCTGAGTTGTTGTTTATGAGTTATCTCCAGTGCTCAGATATCCGGCAGCTTTTTCCTAGGAAGTTAGCTTTGCACATAGAGAAAGAAAAAAAAAAACAAAACAAAGTACATGGGGACTGGGAGATTGAGCGAGTTGGAGAAAGAGGCAAAGATCAGAAAGAATAAAGCCTAGAGACCAAGGATTGCCAAAAATTAGTCACGTGGGCACTTCCATCCCTAGAAAGTGTTTCCTTCTTCTGAAGAGGTTGCAAAAGGTCTTGAGTTGCACTAAAATCTGATGGGGAAAAACACATAATTCTTCAAAAAGAACAGGAAGATTTGGACCCCCCCCTTAGAATTTGATGGATACTTCCTCACCAATCAGTCTGCATGGGGAAGACCCCCTCCCCCCTCCCTGCATGGTGAGCGTCATCACCACAAAAAGCATTTTGATCTCCTGACTGCGGTCAGAGTTATCATCTGCCAAGCCTGCCTTTATTTGTCTGTTATATACACTTGTTATTCAAGCTGGCCCGAGGTCCCAAAGCTGACAAATGAACTTCTGCTAGTTTTCCTAATAAATACTTGGCAGTACCAGGTTTTCTCAAGTATTTTTAAGGGTCAAGAAGTTTAAGAAAGTAAAAAGAGGGAGGAAAAAGCTAGCACCCTAGCAATAGTAGTTCAAAGAGCTTCTAAGACCAGATGCCAGGTGACATGAACAGGCAAGCCACGAATCACACACTTTTCCCCACAGGAGTTACCTGTGTGAAGCCCTTGCTTGGGAAGGACTCCACCGAGTTCAATGTCGGCATCCTGTGAAACCCTGTTAACTGACCACATCCATCTGAAGTCACTGGCACATGACACTCATGCAGCACTGAGGCTGCGGTCATTTCCTGGAAGCCCAGTTCCACCACTCCGGGACCAAGTTCTAAGGGGGTGCCCGGGACATTTCATCCTCATACTAAGTTTCTCTGTCTGTCAGTGATGATCGAGGCATCTCAAATCAGTGGTCCTGGGCCTGTCAAAGCACTCCTTCTATTAGCGAATAATTTCGGGTTTGTAACCAAGAAGTCAGCACCCCTTAAAACTTTAGTAAGCGACTTAGGAAACATGGAGAGGAAATAAAGAAAGCGAAAGCATTTCTGCATGTCTACTTTGAAAACAGAAAAGGAGGAAAAAATAGTATCCCTAGCAAGCTGACATGATTTTGAGCTGTCCTGCTAATTTCCTGCAGAAAGCTCTCCTTCCTGGAGAGAGGAAATGAAAAACACCAAATAGTCGGTGCAGGGTCAGTACTTCCCAAAGACAACTCACCAGCCTTCGCTTGGGTTTAATAAGCGGTCGGTTCTGCCCATTCATCTTGTGGTAGAGCCCACAGGCATTGCACAGGTAGTGCCCGGTGCCATCTCGTCGCCACAGTGGGGTAGAGGTCGCCCCGCAGTTCACACACTCCCTGCCTTCTGGAAACAAGATCACACATAAGTCACTTATGGAAGGAATAAACCACAGAAAAGATGACAGTGCACGAAATTAGGGGATGACAGTCAAACAGAGAACTTTTCTCTCTCTTCTCCCTCTTTTGGGGAACTTTCCCACCCCCATCTCCTCTGAAGGTGGCTGCTAAGCTGAAAACAGTTATTGGACGGCCAGCCACGGCCTACCTAACCCACACACAGGGCAGTGGCCACGAATAAACTGCAGCAGACCCTTGCCCTGGGCCTACCCAATGCCAAGGACCAAGGCAAATTTCAACTTGTAATAGTTCCCTGAGAAAATCTGGAGCCCCAGATATGCAAAGGCAAACATTCCATTCATTTCCCTCAAAGGAAAACAAAGGTGACCCATTCTCATCACTAGGTCTGTCTATACAGATTGATTAAATAATAAAGATTAGAATGGCAAGAAAGGGAAGATGAATCAATGGCAAGATAGATAAACAGATAGTAAACAGATGAATAGATCGATCAATTGGCTGATTGATTTCAGTGGTGAGGGCTTTAGATTTTATTTCCAATAAAACTGTAAATGTTCCTGGCTGGCAAGTAATAGATGAAGACCCAGCAGGGTCGACTCATTTCCCTATCTTCTTTCCTCTAGAAAAGGCCAAGGTTTTCCATGCCATTGTGACAAGGACCAAAGTGCCTTCTTCAGGCAAGAAACCTGGAGATCTGGAGGTGTGGGGGAGGGGAAGGGACAGAGAGTGGGTTGAGAGGGGCAGAGTGAAGGGCATAAGATCAGAACAGGCCAGTTAGGGAAGAGGGTGGGGAGAGCTCTTGGTCGGCTCATTAACCAAAGCCTGCCTGCATTTGCTCTTTCTCCAAAAAAACAAACAAAAATAAACAAAAACCGGCCAGGCCAGGTTAGGGCAGTGTTCACTCCTCGGGGGCAGGAGAGTGAGCCAGACCCACCTCCAGAGGGAAAGCTCCAGAAGGGCATCCCTCAAAATACCATCTTAGGACACAGGGGAACTTTGCTTACTGATTGCTTTTCAACTTCTGCAGGAGGACGGTTTCTAGGTGAGCCTGTTGTCTTTCTGTTGGGGGCTGCTCTCCCCACCTGGCTGTCCTGAGGTGGGACCCTCGAAGGAGCATTTCCTCCACAAGGGGAACCGGGTCCCAACCCTGAAGAAGCCAGCAGCCCCACCCCGCTGGACTTCCCAGAGGAAGCCAGAGGAAGAACATGGTTTTGCTCTCTTCTGGGTACTGAGAGGGAGGTTGTGTGGGGTGGTAGGAGAGAGAAAGATGAGCCTCTAAAGGTTATTTTAAGAGATCAACTAGCTAGTTCACAACTACCAGGAAGACAGGCTGGGTTGGGCTGGGCTGGGTGAGGAAAACCCAAGAGGGCACCAAGGAAACTTGACTCCTCACAGCGGGAGCAGGGCTGGCCTGGGAGCCAGGGTCTGTTCTGCCTTTGGGGGCCCCCAGACCAAGGGGGAGGGAATCAGGTAATGGAGGGATTATACCTGTGACTTATGCTTTTCTCCAGGGGCAAATCTGGAGAAGGAAAAGGACTTTTAGATGAGAAAGGAAAGAAGGTTCTGCCTCCTTTCACTTTGGAGTCCATGATGGTGCTAAATTGTTTTTGTTCACTTTATTAAAAAAAAAAACAAATAAGAAATTAAGAGAGATGTTGTTATTACCTCTTTTGCTCCGAATTCAAAAGGTTCTTAACCCACGGTCTACACAGACCCTCCAAGAACCCCCACGATTATCTACAAAAACGTGGTCCTGATGTGCCAAAAGCACTCTCTAGGGACCCAGCCACTTCCATCGGTCCTCAAAAAAGGCTTTGGACTGAACTGTATCCAGACACCTTTCCCTGGGGTCCAAGTCCGTGGGCTGCGGCCGGCGGATGTGGGGAAGGCAGGAGGAAGGAGGAAGGGGCACGTAGGCGTAGGTGAGGAGGCGCCAGTGGCTGCCAGAGCCAGGAGGCGGGCAAGCCCCTTCTGGTGACAGGGATGCCATCCAGCCCTGGCCTGGCTGGGCCGTCCATTCGCCAACCTGCCAAGACACGGGCCTCTCAGGTTCCCAGACATTTTGTCCCTTTCCTACCTGGGCACTGGCAGAGCGGCTGTGAGGTTTCTCTGGTTCCCTTCTCACCCCAGCAGCCGTGGCTCAGAGCTGGATGCCCGGCTCATAAGCACCTTGGGCTGGGGTTGGGGGGGGGGGATCTCCCAGGGCGTGAGATTAGTCTGATTTCCTCTCCTTTGTCAAGCAGTGGAGAGGATGACAGCTTCCTTTTCAGAGGGACCTTAAGAACTAGCAACGGCTGCCTCCCCAGCAAGGCTCTGCTCAGTAGAGCAATTTTCTGTCTTGATTCACTCGGCAAGTTTGCGATTACCTTGTGTGGGTTTTACTTTTTTTTTTCTTTTCTCCTTGTTGCCTCTAGTCTGTGACTTCAGCAAACAACCAATTTTCCTAATGGAGGCCCTGACTATCTCCTGCTTTCTTTCCTGCTCCTCGCCAGCTGCCTGGTGTGAGCAGCTCGCACAGACACCTCTCTCTTAGGTGACAAGAACCACAAAGCTGCGCGGCCTCTTGACATTCAACAGCCATTTTCAAACACCCCTGCGCCTCCTACTGAAATCCTGAACCGAGGCTGAAGGGTAGGGGCAGGGAGCAGTGGCTGGCGGCTCTGCTCCCAGCAGAGGAGGGCACAGTGAGATGCCCCCAGGAGGGGAGCTCGGAAGTGGCCATTTGCAGAAAGGCTTTGTCTTTTGTTTGCAAAGACACATCCCAGGCGCCAGCCCTGGTTAGAAAAGCAATAGGTGCCCTAACCACAGCTCAACCGTTTCTCCAAAATGCGACAACCCTCTCTTCTCTTGTCTCCTCCTTCGGCAAGTGCAAAGAAGAGGTTTTAAAAAAAAAAAAAGGCAACCACTAAAACCAAGAGAATCCCCTCCTCAAGAATTCCCACCACTTCCACTCTCTTTACACAGAAGAGGGTCTAGACACTTCCTCTCCCTGCTCCCACACTCCCAAAAGTACCAGCGCCCTCGCTGCCCAGGTGTGCTGGCCTCGGGTTTTTTTTGACTGTGAGAAAAGAATAAGAGGAGGAAGTAAAAAGCCAAATTTAAATCATCTCCTTTCTTCTCCCACCAAAAGAGTAAAATAAAATAGGTATATGGGTACCCTGATTCTGGTTCGGAGAAACCGCAGCACGCCCCCCACCCCCTCCCCAATGTTCACGTTCACAGTCTCAAGGAAAGATACTAGAGAAAGTAAAAGGCTGAACGGAGGGCGGAAGGTGCGTGTGTTGGGGGAGGGGGGCGATCAAACCTGGAAATGAGGGCAGAGAAACCAGAGGCTTTGGAAAAGGTACTCTGTCCCTGCCCCCACACACAACCACCACACCGGCCTCAAATACCACAACCTTCCCCCCAAACTTTTAGCCCTACCAAAAAAGAGAACTTAAAAGCAAAATCCCATCACTACCTCAAAATGCACGGGTCTGCCTTCTTTGCGATCAGCCCTCACGCCTTGATCTAATCCCGGGTTTTCTGCTGACCGATGCACCCCCATTTCCGTGGAACCCTCCACTCCATGCCACCCCCCCCCCCCCCGGCCCTGCCCAGGCAGCCCGGCCACGCTCCGGGGCGCTCTCCCTGTCGCTTTCTCTCCGACTCCGCCAGCGGCCTGCCTCCCTCTCCCTCTGCCGACTTTCATGTACTGAACATGCAGGTTTGAGTTCTTCTGTCAGCCTAACCGCATCCGGACTCTATTAAAGTTCCTGGCGCGGGATAAACAATGCAACTGTCGCGTGCAGCAGTCTGAAAATAATTGGATTAGCTAAAACATATCAACTAAATAGAGACAGTCCTGCCCAGGCAGTCACAGTGAATGTCACCCTGGAAAAAACCCCTGAAAACCGATCCCATGGTCACTGGGTGCGCCCACAGCCCTCCCTCACAGGTTTTCTAGACGGGGTCTTGCCAGCTCTGGATTTCTAGACCGCCCGTCGCGCCCACAGACGACAAGTGGCCTCTCCTTACTTCTTTGTGTATGGAAACTCCATAGAGAGAGAGAGGGCAGAGGCAAGACGGCGGGAAAGGGCCAGGGCGGAGGTGCCCACCCTGAAATGGACACGCCCACCCAAGGGGACACACAGTCTCCACAAAGCCATCTCCAAAAACATAACTAAATCTCATCTCAAGAGAATCCCAAACTTTCTGATTCAACCGCTTCAGTTGGAAACAAAATTGGTCGTGGGTTACTTCGGTTTTAAAGAAAAAGTACTTTGTGTGGGTTGGTGGGAGGCGTTAATGCAAGTGTCTGCACCAACAGAATCAATAAAAAAAAAAAAAGCAGTGAGCTATTAAGGCAGGGTGTGCTTTTTGAGACAGGGTGAGCAGAGGAAGCGCACACACACCTGGAGACCTTTTGCAGTGCTTCCTACCTCCTCTGGCTTCCGATCAGTAGAGGACCATGTCCTGAGACGCCTCCCTGCCCCTGCCTGGGCTGCGGGGAACTGGCCCTGTCTACTTTTGACTTACAAATGCAGCCATTTCCCTGGGGCAGAGCCTGCCTTGCTGTCCCAGAAGCTACTATGAGAGCCCCCTTTTCCATGCAAAGAATACGTGGGCTGCTTCTGCAGGGTCACGCCCACTGCACAAATATATATACACACTTTATTTATACATGTCTGTATAAAGGGCTGTCCTCTGTTGACTGAATGACCCTGTTTGAGCTGGGCCAAGAGGAACAGTCGAAGGGGCTCAGAGGCCAGGAAGGGTCAGAGGAGGAACCTGTGTTTGTTTAGGTTTCAGGAGGTTTCGTTTTAGCATTAAACACTAAAGAGTTATTCCCTCGCCTTCTATTTGGTCTTGGAGACTGAGTGAAGGTTACTGGCAGAACCCAGAAGTCCCCCAGCAGGCAGGGGAGGGTTTGTGTTTGGGTTTGTCTCTTTCCTTCCTCAGCTCATGGGGGTTTAATTAGATCCCACTGCCCCTCTGCTCTGAAGACTGAAGGAGGAGGGACACACCTCGTTCTTCTCGCTGTTAGAATGGGAAGAAATCAAATCTCAGAGGGGTCTGGAAAGCACCCAGCTGGGCCAGACTGGGCTCTCCTTTCCCTGCCCTGGATTTAGGGAAAGCAAGAGGCAAAGGAGAGGGGACCTCAGGGGACAGCAGGCTCCTACCTGTGCTGGATCTTGCCTTAGGCCTCGACTTGCACCCGAAGCCGGTGGGAGAGCCCCCCAGCAGGCTGCTGGGGGGGAAGAGTCCGGAGCTGTATTCTGGAACGTAGGGCGGGTAGGTGGTGATGGGGTGGTGTGCCGATGAGGCCGCCCCTCCCAGGGTGGTCATGCTGCCCCGTGAGTGCGACGACTCGAGCTTCATGCTGTCGGGCAGCGGCACCTGGTACTTGATACACTCCTTCTCGTCCTGCCGGCCCGAGCCGGCCGAGCCGGGCGTGGACAGGGACGGGTCCGGGGAGACATCCTTTGGTGGGGTTGGCGGGAAGGTGAAGAGGTGCGGGCTGGAGTGGCCCCCCGACAAGGAGGAGGATGAGGCCGGGGGATAGACCGAGAGGGGCCCCGGGGAGCCGTGGTGGATGGACGTCTTAGAGAAGGGGCTGAGGTTCCAAGGCGAAGCGGTGTGGTGGCCGCCCAGGGCTTTGCCGCCATCCAGCCAGGGAAGGGATCCGTGCAGCAGCGGCGGGCGGCACACCTGGCTCCCTGCGAGAAAGGACAGGAGAGAGACAGGCTGGTGAGAGCAGCCCCAACACCCGCAGACCACTTGCGATTCCCCGCTTCACCCCAGCTTCCCTGTCAGGAAAATCCCAAACACAGACCTGGGCGCAGGTCTGCTGCCTCCAACCCGGGCAGTGCCTTGAGTACCTTGGCCAGCACACACTTCACCCCTCTCTCCCACACAAACATCCCATCAAACCCCACAGAATGAAGGGCCTGAGTCTGACACCCGAGAGGTGCTGCGATGGAGTGAAGAAGGGCCCTTCGGCGTATTGGCCTCTCCAGATACACTTTCTAAATCACATCCCCTGAGATCCCTCTCTAGAACCTGACTTGATTTATCGTCTTCCTTCAATGGCCTGGGGTCTGCCATCCTAGACACGATCCCAGCCAACCTGATAAGAGTCGGCTGTGAGTGATGAGGCCTGAAGGGCTGAGCCTGGTCACACAAGCACTCAACAAAATCCACTGGCCTGCAGAGAGGCCAGCAGCAGTGCCCAGGTCTGGGTGCCTGGAGCAGGAAGGAAAGGGCTGGGAAGAGAGAACAGGGGGGCTTCTTAGGGTCACTTCCACGGAACCTCACTTCAGTGCCTGCTCATCACTGGCAGAGCCTGAAATGGGATTTGCAGGGAAATCAGCAGTCAGGCTGCCTGAGAAAGTTTCCAGGGCTGTACTCTGGGATGCCTTTCTCGCCCTCCCAAATCCTACAGGAGAAAATAAATGAAGACCCAGATGTCCTCAAAGTTGTGATTCCATCGGTGTGATGTTTTTACCCAAGCTCCTGACACACAAAATTCCAGTGCATGTGTCTTGCACTCATACATAGTTTGAAGGTAGCCATAACCCTAACAAGCCCATACACTCTGAGAGGGGGAAATTTAAACGGCAAGTTCAAGTCCACACACATTGATCTTTTAATCCAGTACCTGCACCAGCTTTTGACGTTCTATTTTAACCATTAAGAACAATACTGAAACTAAAATCTTAAGAGAGAGAGGAAGGGGAGGAGAGAGGAAGGGAAGGAGAATTCTGTGAACATTAAGGGTCAAGATTCAGATTATGCAGGAAGTAGTATAGTAAATAGTATTGAGTCTGCGTTCACGCATTTCCACCTAACTGCTGATCTGCACGGAACAAGGGCAGAGAGCGCCCCATCCGCAGAAACAATTGTTTAAACCTGGTGGTGACCGCGGGGCGGAGGACGCCTGCTGCCGGAGGGGCTCTGTCACCCGAGCCAACCTCCGCTCTAAGTAGGAGACGAGGGGCAGACCTCTGTTCCGTCCGGAGGGACTAAGAGAGCCTCACATTTTCTCAGCGTGAAACTTTGCTGCTGTATCTCCTTTTAAAATACCCATGTCCCCGAGTAGCGTCGGTTTACCCCTTAATTGCACAAGGCTCGGTTTCTTTTTAACATTTCAAAACTCCCAAACTTCTCAAGATGAAAGGAAAAGAAAAAAAAAGGCAAAGCCATTATAATCGTTCCTCCGTAATAAGGAACCCCGGTGGATCCTCAACCTTCTTTGGGAGCCGAATGGACTGCTGTAGGCCGGAGGAGAGAGTAAGGCCAGAACTGCGGGAGCAGCAATGAGGCAACCTAAAGCAAAGCCGCAGGAAAATTCTGTGCAGCCGGGAATCTGGGAAACTGCGTATGTCTCGACCTTAGGACAGTCGTCTTTCCACCGAAACCCCTTCAAGCACCAGAATGCCACTGGTCCGAGCCCAGAGGTAGCAGACCTGCCTAGACACCTAATGGGGAAAGGTCAAAATCAGGGATGAGAAGAAAGACGCCTCTCGGGCCTTTCTGGAAATGTGCTCACAGGCAGAAGACCTGGGGGAGCGAAGCCTTTTAGAAGAACCGAGTCTGAGCCGGGTAAAGCCGGCGCCAGCTGCCGGCTAGGAAGCCGTGGCTGCGGAGGCAGAGCCTCGCTCCCGGCGCCTGGGCCCTCCGAGGCCCCCGACCCGAGGCCGCTGGGGGAGTCTGGGCTGCAGCTCCGCGCCCGCCAGGTGAGCGCCAGGCCCCGGGGACTCCAGCCGCCCAGAGGCGCCTCAGAGACTGTTGTGAAAAACACACTTTCATGACGATCGAGACGGCTTCCTCGCCCATTTCCGGGCCCCAGTTTTTTTTTAAATGAAGCACTAACTGCGCTAGGAGGCTTTGGCTGGGTCTCCCCACCCCTGGTTCCTTCTCTTCCTTCCCGACCTGGGCAGCAGGGGCGGCCGCGCAGGGTCTGCGCAGCGGGGGTGGACTCACCGTGGTGGGTCGGAGGGTACCTCTGCACAGTGGCCCTCACCGAGTTTCCGTAGTAGGACGGGACGTGGTTGCCTTGACCGTCGATGTTAAAAAGTACATCCACTTCCTCGGGCAGGGGGTACTGCGCCGGGTCCATGTAGGAGTGGCCGAGGCCCGGGTGGTGCGTGTCCGGGTGCTGCCCGTTGAGGACCGCGGGGTGGTGGTGGCTCACCCAGCGTGGCTGGTCTGCCGTCACCTCCATGGCCCCGGCTGCGCTCGCGCCCTCTCGCCGGGCCCGGAACCCGCGCACGGAGAGGGAGGGCGGTCGGACTGGTAGGTCAGGCGTTTGGGGCTTCGATGCTATGCAGGTGAGCTTGCTGTCGGAGGAGTGGGGGTCGTTTACTGGTTTGTTTTCAATGGAGGAATGGGGGAGGTGGGAAGATAAGGTGAGCAAAGGAGACTTTCAAAAAATCTTTTGAGTAGTAGCTTAGCAAAGAGAAGAGGAAGGAAAAGAGAAATCCCCCCCAAAAAAACAAAAACAAAAAAAAACAAGTACGGACGTATAAAGGGGGACCAAATTGTTAAGAGGAGGGGGTGAGGAAAGCTGGAATTCTGCTAGTGAAGCTCCTCTGCAGCCGCTCCGAGGCTGGGTTCCTCCTCAAGTCACCTGCATAGGAAAGAAAGGGAGACCTGGATGAGCTCCTAAGTACCTTGGCACCTGAGTTTATGAAGTGGCACCACCTGCCCTCGAGCTGCTGGCCCGCGCCCGCGCCCCTGGACACGCACACACACGCGCACACGCGCGCGCCTCCTACGGAGCTCAGAAAATCCGGGTGCAACCCGGGAGAGAACCGCTCCCAAAGACACCCCCACCGTCCAGCTCTCCCGGGAGCCCGGCACTGACTGAGCCTTTCAAACTAGGACGACAGCTCCCTCCCTCCCGGGGACCGGTCCCAGGTCCTTCCTCCGGCCCCTAGAAAGTCACCAAAAGAGGAGCGTGGAGTTTTAAATGTTTTAAAGTTTCCCCAAATGCAGCAGGGCGGGGGGAATCAAACAAACAACAACAAAAAACAGTCGCCGGTACCAACCTGGGTAGCGAGGAGCAGAGAGGAGGAGGCGTGCGACCTGAAGAGCAGAAAGTGCTCGGTCAGATTGCGTGGCTTGCTCCGTCTCTCGCTCTCTCCGTCTCTCTCTCTCTCTCTCTGGCGTTGCTGTCTCTCTCTCTCTCTCTCTCTCTCTCTCTCTCTCTCTCTCTCTCTCTCTCGCCCTCTCTCAGATTTTTTTTTTTTTTTTACTGGGAATGCATTCTTTCTGAAAGTATCAAGACGGCGCCAGGCAGCTCAGTGTTCGCAGACAGCTGTGGCGCGACGCAACTTAAGGAGGTTCTAGTGTCATCCGCGAGAGAGGGAGGAGCCTAGCGCTGGCGAGGAGGGGACAGCCTCCCCAGCGCAAGGAAACTGCAACCCTAACCCGCTCCAGGGCTTCACCCCCAGCCCCTCCTCCCGCCCCTCCACTGACCGGAAAGGGGCGCCGCGCAGGGAGGCCCCGGGCGGGGGGTCCCGGGGTGGTGGGCGAGGCGGCAGGGGCCGGGGGCGGGGGCCGGGGCGGGCTGGAGAGGGCGGGTAGGTGAGGGCGGGCAGGAGGGAACTCGCGTACTGGCCCTTTAAATGTGGCTCCAGCTCCTGCCAATTCTTTCCGACTGGGTGGATTATTCTTTGCCGGAGCAACCAGCCTGCCCCATTCATAAAGCTAATTTTTACAGGCAGCCTTGCTTTTTCAGACTTTTTAAATGAGCAACTTTTTAAAACTCAATCTGGGCAGTATTGGGGAAGTTTATTGACTTGGGGCTACGCATAGGTAGAACTGATCAGAAAAAAAAAATTAATGCCCAAGTACTTTGTGATTTGCCTCTCCAGAGAAATGAGTAAGAGTTAAAGAATTGCGCAGAAGGGATATGCCTTTGATTGAAATGTCAGCGTTACTTTGGGGGTCGTTGTCAACAATATGTTCCCCAGCCTTTTGCGTTAACCAAACTCTCAAATGAATGCTGCAGTTGTTGCAGCTGTCCTTGTCAGACCTAATATCTGTAATCAATGTGCGCTCTTCAGTGACAATTGCGATGGATGAAAAGGAGCGAGGGCGAAAGACTCGAACTAGTTCCAACTGCAGTGCGATGCGTTGGACGGAACTCGGGTCTTCGTGCCAGTTACCCAACTTTTCCCTACTTACTCCGGCTCCCGGCGTGTATCCTCGGTCCGATACACTGAACCCCAGCCCGACCGCCGGGCACAACGCCGCAACCGTCCCAGGGCCAGGGCCTCGCGCTGCAGAGCTCGGAGCTCCTGGCGGAGGGAGTGGGGCTCAGAGCCGCCCCGCGAAGGGCGGGGCGGGGGCGGGGCAGGAGAAGGAGCCAATCAGCGGGCCGAGTTGTGGCCGGGCCGCGATTGGCGGGCCCTGCAGCCTCCAACCTCGGCGGCCTGTCCTGGTCCTTTGAGCCACTGCATCCCCTAGCGGCGCTCAGCCTCCTGCAGCATCCCGGCCCAAAAACGAGGCCGGGGCGCTCAGGGGTCAGGCGGGAAAGGACTCAGGTTCCACCTTCTGCTCACTCAGTACAGTGTGTACGAGGAGAGAGTGAGGGTTCTCCCGCAAACTTTCCCACGGACGGTACTAAGCTTGATGTGGGTGCTGTTGGAACTAAAGACATTATTCCCTCTTCACTCTTCTATCTCATAAAATTCCCTACAAATGCAAAACTCGAAGCTAGAAGAGACCGCCCCTAAAAATTGATTCTGGAGGCTTTCTTTCACACGGTTAAGGAAAAACATCAATATTCAGCCTTAAATTGTTGAGAAAGAAATATTTTGTTTTAATGCACAATTCTTGTAGAAAGAATAGTAAAGTTTATTCTGAATAGTGAAAAACGTGGCTCCTCCCGGTCTTGTATTTGGAGCTTCTCTTGAGTCTCTGTCTTCCTAAAGCTGATGTTAGTTAGAAATTAGAATTAAGTTCCTAGATGTGAAACAAGAAAATTCCTGAATTAAACACCACCGCCAGTCCCACCACCCAGCGTTTCTCCTGAACCCGCTTAAGCCCTGGGTTATCAGGACGGCCCAGTAAAGGAACATCGATTTTCCCTTCTCTCCGACCACTTTTCTCTAGGGCCAGTCAAGCTGCCAGCCTCTCCTCCTGCTCACCGAGCTCTCCAAACCTTTTAATTATTTAGTTTCTAGCATTCACCGGAAACCGCTCCACACGCGAGCACAGACGAACGCACACACTTTTTTTTTTTTTTTTTTTTTTTGCTAAAAAGTCCCGAGATTAAGAATGGAAGCAGAGAGGAAAAAATGAAAAGCGCCTCTTCGCGCCTCAGTCGAGGACGAGGAGATGCTCCCCGGACTTCAGTGCAAAGCCACGCGGAAAACTCCTAGCGTGGCTCTGTGGTGCTCCAAGCCCAGACCTGGAAGCCGGGGAAGGATAAAGACAGCCTCTCTCCGAAAAGAAGTGCCGCCGGTGCCAGGACTCGAAAATGTTAACTTCCAAGGCTGAGAACGATTTTAAAAGACAAAGAGAAAAGATTTGTAAGGAGGCCTTCCGGTTTAGCGGCGCCTCTCTGATAACCTACAAAACTGGGGGGAGGAGGATTATTCGTTTTAATTAAATCACAAGCACGAACTCGGGCTGCACCGGAATGGAGAACCCTCAGCCCCGACCACCTTGAAAAGCAAATAATAAAAGATCCTGAAGGCCCCTCCTGGTGGTGTGGAGCTGGCAGAGAGGCGCGGGGGCTGCGGCTGGATGCCCGGTGTAATGGAGCCAGCCTGTAGGGGGTATTTAACATTTAATTCCCAGCCGGTCCGCCCCTGTTCCCGGACTGACAGTGGGTAATTGGGAAAGAGGACGTTGCTCTTTTGATGGCCCGCGCCGGCCAGTCTCGCCGACGCCACACTGTGTTTGACGTCACGGGGCCAGCCCCAGAGCCGGGAGCACAGAGCAGGGGAGGAGGGAAAAGCAGTGGGGAGGGGTACTGGGGAGGGAGGACCGAGGTCGGCCTCGGGACCCACGAGGAAGAAAGGGGGAAGGGAGCGCGACCGGAGAGAGGCTGCGGCGCGTGGCCTGAGGCGGAGAGCGGGCTGCGGGGGTCTAGGCCAGGCCAGGCGCCGGCTTGACCCGCCTCGCCGGCAAATGCTGGCCCGGCTTCCTCCTCCGGGAGAGGGCGGGAGAGGGGAGGGGAGGGGGCTCCAGGCCGGGGGAAGGGAAGAGGGGAAAGGTGGTCCAGATTCCCCCGCTGCGGTAGCCTGTAAAGCTGATCCAGGCCTCCTTCGGAGACGCTCAGCGCTCATCTGCAGACTTGACAGCCTCTTCCCGGGACACCCCCGCCCGGGTCTGGTGTACGAGTTCCCTCTCCTCCCCGGAACGGCTGGGGAGAAGAAAGCGATGAGGACACCAAGGAGGATGCTGTCGCCCCTGGCTCCTGTAGGGCGAGAGGCCTCCCTTAACCAGGGTAAGGGACAGGGGAATGGTCTGGAAACCTAGGGCTCTGGGGGCTCGCATCCCGGAGCGGAGCAGACCGCAGCGCAGCCGCCGCCCTTTTACCCCCACCCCCACCCCCTGGAGCCGAATTCGTGCCCTGGGCGGCAGGAGCCAGTTTGGCGGATCTGCAACGCCAGGCCTCGAGGCGGCTGCTTTAGGCGTCAAGTTGAGCGAGGTGTGTGTGCCCTCTTGGGGAAAGGGTAAGAAATGGAGCCTTACTTTCCTTGGTTCGGCTAAGCTGGCAGCCACACATCACCCGCCGACCCCCCCCCCCACACCCCAACACTTGCCCCTGTACGGGTCCCACCCACCTGCCCTCCCTGGAGAGCAGAGACTCTGTCCGGATGGAAGTGGGGAACCCAGTCTCGAGAAGGAACCGAAGCCCGCGGCGCAGAGGGGAGGAGCGTGTCCCCCAGGCTCACCCCTGGGGTCTCGGGACCCAAGGATCGCAGATCCACGCAGCCAGCGTCACCGACTCGAGCGGAAAGGCAGGCGCTTCAGGCGAGCTCCGCGGGGCCGAGGTCCGGGGAGCTTCGGCCCCCGGCGCCCGCGCGCTGCGGGCGTAGGGTAACCAGAAAAGCCGAGCCTCGGGGTCGAAGTCATAAAGTTACTAATCCGGAGCAGGGGGAGTGAGCGTGCCTTGGGCCGCCCGGGGCGGTCATTTGAGCGTGTTTACTTAAGGACTTTGCAAGCGGAGCGCGCGCGAAATAGTCGGATTTCCAGCAAGGCAGCAAATATTTGCAGGGGGAGAAAGAAGCGGAGCCGGCCGCGCCGCCGCGTCCCTCCCCCCAGAGCCGCGGCGCCGGCCTGGGCGGACTCGGCCTCACAGTTAGAGACAGAAATGAAGCCGGGAACCTGCGGGACCAGGCGGGGGAGGGGGCGGGGAGGGCGCAGAGCAACAGCAAAAGCCAGAAATTGGAGCGCGGGCCGGAGGCCCTGGCGAGTCGGTACTGGGAGAGGAGAAATCACTTCTTCCAGCTCTATCAATCTTCTTTGGCATCGATCGGTCAATAAAAATGGTGTGAACGGGCCTCGGTCGGTTTGCGTCTGGGGAGGAAGTGGAGGCCAGAGGTGCAGAGGCCGGCGCTCCGCTCCAGCCGGTTTCCCACCCGGCGGTCTGCAAGCCCCAGGCCGGCGGCAAGCTCGTCGCGGGGAGCCTCGCGCAGCCCCGCGAGACATTTAATTGGGTGTCTCCACTTTAACAGTGGTCATTGTTGGAGCAATTAGCTAAAGACAATAACCGCCAAGAGGCGTTTAATTCGATTCCCGTCGCTGGCGGCTGCGAGACCAGGGAGCTCAGGAAGAAAAGCCTGGCCTGCAAGGGAAGATCTGCTTACTTGCGGGTTTTGTCTTAGCCGTGGGAATTCTAATGGGGCAAGGCAGAGCGCACGGAGACCAGGTCCGTGTCCCAGACCCGGGACACCCTTGCTGGGCCTCGCTAGCCCCACGGGGAGCCCAGGGAACCACCGCGCCTACTGGCAGCACGCGTGGGCGGCCACGCGCGGGTCGCCGATGCCTGTGGGAGGGAGAAAGCAGAGAAGACAGGGACGTGGAAGTCGGCCTCCTTCCTCCTTAGCTGGAGGTCCCCCACCTCGATCACGCGAACCGCGTCCCAATTTTCCTCCCCATCGGGGAGGAGGGACAAAGCAGAGAACCCCTTTCTGGCACGCGTACACACCTCCCTCTCCACTCAGCCAGCCCCATGGCCCCCTCCTCTGCCTCGGCCCTAGTATTAGGTTACCGCGGCCGGGCGAGGATTTTTACTGGATACGAGAATAGCACAGGTAAAGCTGTATAAACAGCTCGCCGGCTGCCGGACCGGAGGGTTACACGGGGGACACGGCCCCAGGCGCCACCGCAGGGCTGGCGAAACGACGGCGGAGCCCGCTCTGGCGCAGGTTAAACACATATTCCATCTGCAGTTCCCTCCCAGCCCTTTTCTCTCTCCCGCATGAACTGAAACGCAGACTGGGTAGTGAAATCAAAAGGCAATGAGAAGGAAGAAGACCATTGGGGCAGTGCTGGTTGCTCTCTCCAAACGAAACACCAAGTAGGGGACCTCGGGGAATGCAGAGAAAAGGGGACCCCAAACTCACTGGTGAAGGGAAGATGCAGGAGCGTCAAACGTCAAAGGGAAAACCCGTCGGAAGTCAGGCCTAGGGTCCACCTGCCCTGGGAAATGAACCATCGTTTTGGGGGTGTGTGTGGTTTGACTTTTTTTTTTTTTTTTTTTTTTTTTTTTTGCTTATTCATCTATCACTGCTTAAAATTTGGAAGGAAACCCGCCCAGGCCTGGAGGAGCCGCAAGAGAAGTGGCGCGTCAAAGAAAGAGATGCGCTCCGAGATTACCCACCCCCCCACCCCCCGCCGCCCCACTCCGCCCTCGCCGCCTGACCCGGCCCTCCAGCTTCGAGGGATCCTTTGCCCTCCCTCGGCCGTTACCCACTCCTCCCGAGTTGAGAAAAACCCTGATTGTAGCGAGATAAAAATGGGGCAGGTAGGGGTATAGCGGAAAGGGGGAGGAGGGAGGGAGAGAGCAGGGGATTTCTGTTTTGAGTTTGACAATGCACAGGTGGGGGGCGGAGGCCGGCTGCGCGGGGAGCCCCGGGGTTAGGTGGGAGAGGAAGATTTCCCCTTGCGGGTGAGTGGAAAGGAGTGCGAGTCACCCTGGAAGACGGCGCTCCTCCTATCTCTTCCTCCCGGTCTGCTCCATTGGGGGGGCAGGTGAGAGCCACAGAGAAAAGGATAGAGGTGCTGCAGCAGCTTCCGGCGGTGCCTCCGGGGCCACAAGCCACGGATTCGGCCCCCAGCTGGCTCTTAGGAAGGGGCTCCGGCCTCCAGACCCAGGCTTTCCTCTTAGGGTGTCCTCAGGCCACGCCGCTGAAGCAGCCGGAGCTCCCAGGGAAGTGGTCAGTATGAGGGATTCACCCATGAGAACTCCAGGCCCCAACGTTTTTCAGACCGTGGAAGATGCAGGTGGGTATCTGCCTCACTCCCCCTGGCCTTCTGGCTTGCGGGCGAGGCGCCCACCCCCTCACCGCCACCGCGTCCAGAGCCCCTGGCCTGCCCTAACCCCGGCTCCGGTCCTTACCCGGCCCCAGCTGTGGCCCGGACTACAGAGCACTCGCCTTGGACCAATTCTCCTTCGGACACTTCCATTTGGCCCTGCAGGAAAAGGAGGGCCTTATCTTGGGGGCTATTGTGTGTTTTACTTCTCTAGATTAGCCAGAAAACCGGGGTACCACTGTTGCTGGGCACTCGACAGTGGGCAAAGGAGGGGGTAGTTCGAAACGGTGCAAGGGAAGGCGGGGAAGGGTAATTTCCTTCAGATCAGGACACAGTTAAGGCAATCTTTTAAAAGTACGAATTATTCATATCTTCCTTTGGACACGCCGGAGACCTCAGGGTAACATGTGAATCGTCCGGCTCAGGTGGAAAGACGCTGTCCTGCGTGCAACGCTCGCCGTTCCCTCCCTGAAAGATGCGCCCTGCCGGCCACCGCTCCCGCCAGGGCCCGTGCTTGGCGCTGGGCTCTCTGCTGCCTGCCACCTCGTGGACCCCAAGCAATTTGTTATATAAAACAAAACAGCAACCGCACACGTGTGCCTGCAGACCTGCAGCGACGGACGCCTAGGGAGACTGGCCCAAGCGCCTTCCTCTTGTGAGTTTTTCTGTCTCGTCCTTCCAACAGCCCTCCGCACCGACCGCCACCACCTCTAGTCCCTCTGTCCAGTGGCCAGAAGCAAAGGGGACTCCGATTCCAGTTTGGGGACTGCCTTGGCCCAATCTCCGGGTTTGCTAAACCTCTCTCTGGTTACTCCAACCATTGAGAAAAACAGGTGATCGGGAATATTTGGTCTGCACACAAAGACACCATGGAAAATGCACGTTTATGTGTGAAAAGGCTCAGAGGCAGAGAATGAAAACATGCCTCCATGCAGCCCAGAAATGTTAGAATAACCTGGGCTAGAGAACACTGGGTCTTTCGGATCCTGCCCTCACACACCTTATCAGGGTCCCTAATACTCTGCCACCTCCCACAGTTCCCAGGCACAAACTGCCTTCACCTCCAGAAGATGGGTTCTCAGCCACGGGGCTGCGAGCACTTGCCCTTCCCCAGACTCTCTGTGTGGCCCTGGACTGCTGGGCATTCCAACAAAGAAGGTCCACCAGCGTGCTCAGCAGCACCCATCCCTTCGCTGCACCCCATCTTACCCCTGCCTCATATATTGTCTGCAAAAGAGGGTGGAATTATCAAATAAAAGAAAATGCAGCTTCCACCGTCTCTGTGTTTTCTTTTCCTGGACAGACCGACCCAACCCTGAATCCCCAGGGCTGGCAGAGAGCTCCTGTGCAGAATGGAGGTGGACCCGCAGGTGTGGGTGCGTGGGTTTGTGTGCCCAGTGCCACTCACCGGTCTCCTCAGACTCCAGCTGGCTCCTCAAGTCAGGAACCTTGGGCTTTGCAGGGCAACTGGCTGGAAGCTGGAAGCTGAGCTTCCGGCTTGGTCCCATGCAGGAATCAATAATGGGACCCAAAACTCACCTTGATCTTGGTCAGTCTGACCTGGATGTCATATCCTGCCCGGGATTCAAATGGGCAGAAAGCAATTCCTTTCCTCAGAATCACATAATCATTTAAAAGGTTTAGCGGTAAGCTCCCTCCCACAAACAGCCATTTGGGCCCTGCAAGCATCAGACATCTGGGTCTACTCTACCAGCCTCACTGGGACTCTGCCCCAAGCCTGTCACCAGACCCACAGCTCCCCCTGCACCTCCCCCCCACACACACCTTTTCTGCCACAGCTGCTAAGGGATACAAGTGCTGCAAATGCTACCCGATTGTCCCTTTAAATTTTGTAATCTCCCATCCACAAACCAGGGGTCCCTGCTGAATGTGGCTGATAGCGGAGGAGAAAAGAACTAGGAAACACGGGAACCAAACCGAGGGGAGATCCTGCTGGTTGGAGTGGTTTCCACCCGGAGCCATAAACAGAATCACCCCATGTCAGCTTTCTCAGCACCCTGTGGTGTCTGAGAGGAGGCAAAGGTATATAAAGGCATTGAGTGGATCTCCTGCTTACATTCACTCAAATCCCTTGCATTTTGACATAATCTGTCTTGGTTAGGACCCTCTGATGGAGTGGCTTCTTGGAGGTACGTTAGTCTAATGTCCCAAGAGAAAGTAGAATTCTTGTGTCCTCTGCCCCTCCTGCTCCCCACAGCCCTAGACACCCTCTCTCTGAGGCAGCGGTTTTCTTGCTTGCCTCAGGGCGCTCCTGGAAGCAAAGGCACCCCCAAGCCACCAGCTGCTCCGGAGGATGTCGCATGCCCACACATCTGGGCTTCAACTTTTATCTCACAGCACACAGCTGCTTCTTTAATTATATGCGGAGACAATGAGCCTAAACACACACTTGTAAGTACAGGAAAATAAACATGAAATTGACACTGGGACCCTGCAGGCACCTTCCAAAGAAGGCTGAACTGCTCCTTTGCAAATGGGTTCTTTTCCCCAATCCTCTGCCCTCCAGAAGTGGAAAATGTGTGTCCAGCCCTTCCCAAGCACTTCTGCCATCTCCTATTTTTCTGTTTAGTTTTTCTTCATATGCCTTGTTCTACCAGCTCTTTTCTCCAAAGAAGGACATACACACATACACACAGCACGCTCGCCCAAGGTCATTGCAGAAAGCCCAAGATTTCCAGTGACCAGAAAGAACAATAGGACTGAGGTCTAGTTCACTTTCTTCCAGAGACAGCTGTCCCTTTGGAGTCAAGACCTCCTTTCCATTCTCTCCACGTGGATCAGGGAAAGCGAGTGCAGAGTTAGAGAGAGGAGAGAGAGCTATTCACTGACCTGGGTAAGTCGCTCCTGCCGGTCAGCTGTTTTTTATTTTTTCCTGGCTTGCCGGAGATCTGAAGGCAGAAATGACAGGCAGACTTGGCCACTGTTGTCGCTGCTGCGGTTCTCACTGCCCCAGCTGCTTACAGCATCTCACACAGGCTTCCAGCAAGAAGTAAAACCTGGGTGATGTGCATCCTTCCCAGGAGCCGCCTCCCTCCGCCTTCTCCTGCTCACTGTGCGGAGCGGAGCTCTTCCGGGTTGCTAAAGGGGAAAGGGAGGGAGGGCAGAAGACTGAGCGGGGAATGAATCCCCCCTCCTTTTGCAAACATGAAAACTGCACATAGAGGGTGGACGAAGCTAGCAGAGTTGGGGGGATGGGGAAAGATCACCTCAAATGTAACCAGCCCCTGGTGCCTACAAAGCCCACTTTCTTTGGCAGGGTTGGAATTAACACTGTAAATGTCAGCCGTGGTGTTGACTGGATCATACCTACGTAGACATAAAAGCTTTTGCGGAGTTTTCCTCCCATTTTTGGAGAAATGGGAACCCAGTGGGAGTCTCTAGAGATCCAACTGGTGGCCACCATTAGCAGGGCCTGCGCCCCACAGGGCTTTTCTTCTCCTTCTGACTGTTCCTCCCATTTCTGCTAACACCTCGAAAATGCAGGCGTTCTCCAGCTACATCCATCTTCAGCCACCACTGGCCAGTAAAAGTTAGGAAAAGCCAGGATGCTGGCTGACTGGGCTCTGAGCCTCTTACTACTCTTTGTCCCTCTTCACGAGGGACATGGAAACAGTTAGAGGCTGAGGAACCCGTGCACATACTAAGTAGAGGTTTGGGGAGGGCGCACTACAGCGGCCCCCGTTCTTCTCATAGAGACTTGTAGGAGAGTGAAATAAGGGACAGAGAAGCAGAGGTTGCTCTGAAGACAAAATGTCTAAGGAAAATGGTCCTATGTGTCTACCCAGCAAACTCCAGCCCTCCCCTTCAAAGCACGCTCTCCTGTACCATTACCTACTTTTGCTAGTGGGGGATCAAAATAACCCACGGAGGAGTCTGTCCTGGATAAATTTCTGCAGGGGTAAGATGAAACTCCATAAACATTTGGGTAGAAAGGTCAGGGTCCATTTGTTTTGACAGGTAGAGTTTTTGCCTTCACAATATTTATACAATAAGAGTATGGAGACTGACTTTAAAAATAAATACATCTTTGGGGAGAAATAAAACAAAAAGTGTCCATTGCCAGGCCGGGAAGTCAAGAAGTTTCTTGTGCTGAAACCAGTTCGGTAGGAAGGACTTGCCCAGCTTAATGGTGCAGAGTGTTCCGTGGGGCCTGTGCGGTTGCAGGGAGACCGAGGCCATTGGTCGGCAAGGTCAGAGCCGTGGGCAGAGGTGGGGCGACAGCCCGAGGAGGGACAGTCGGGGAGCGTCAAGGAATGCGGCGTGAGAGTAAACCTGCCGGCGGAGCCAGGTGTCTGGAGAGCAGGTACAGAGGGAGGCCCAGGTCCGTTCCGGACGGGAGGGCGCTCCCAGGATGCGGCCGAGGCCTCCAGCCGCGCGAAGCCCCTCGACCCAGACACGCCACCCGCGTTTCTGCCCTCCGCCCCCCGGACCTTAGGGATTCCGGGTTTAAGCCGAGTGGCGGTAGAGGGGCTTCTTGTTTGCCAACCTGTCAGGGAGAGGAGAAGGGGTTCCCTGCTGTTGCGGGGGCCCTGAAGCCCACCCCCTTCCAGAGCTCAGCGGTTCCTCCGCCCTCCTGCCCTCTCGCGCCCTGATTCCGCCACCAAGTGGCAGAGCCAAGTTCTCCGGCGCCAGGGCGCGGGGTGGGCAGGTCTGCGTGTTCCCAGGACTCGGGCGGGGAAGGTCACTCTCGGGACAGCTTCCGCCCAACTTGTTGCCCTGGCGCCCCGCAGGGGGCTGCGTGAGCTGGGCCGGGGAGGCCGTGAAGGGTCGGGCTGAGACCAGCGGCCAGAAAAGTGTGGCGGGGACCCCGGAGCCCTTTAGGGTTCTGAGACCCCCGCGCTCCAGCTCGAGCGCAGCCTCGTGGGCAACAAGACTGCGGGCCCCAAGAGGGGTCATCCGTCACCCAGACGACAGTTGTCTCTTCGGCCTGAGTGTTAGCGGTACCCCACCTAGCGTGCCGTCCACCAAGCCCTTGGAGCCCTTTGTGCCTTTCTCTAAGGTCCCCTCCCCGCTTCTGTCCAGCATGGATGATCCCAATCTCCCGCTCCCTCCTCTTTCTCCCTCCCTCGCCATAGATCCGCTTCCCACTGGAAAGCCCTGGTTCGGTGCCTCAGACTCAGGATGCTGTCCCGCACCCCTGGGAACCCAAGGCTGGCTCCAGACCCCGCTTCTTGGCCACCTCTCGGCCACCCCGCGCGCCCACCCCCTTGCCACCCGGTCCACGCGCGCGTGCCCGCCACCTCCGCGGGTTCCTGCGGGCCTGCTGGCCGGTCTCCGCGCTGCTTTTCTGCTGATGCGGGCACTTGCTTGTCTCCAGGTCTAAAGTGACCCTTTGGTGAGGAACTGAGAAATGCAATTGCGTACACGTGCTCTCCCATCACCCTGATTTTACCTGTACCAAAGGAAGGCTTCATTTGAGGAAATAAAAGGCCAAAGACACTCGGCCTTACAAAAACAAAAAGCAAAAAACCAAAGGACCTAATTAAAATATAACTAATTTTCAATTTCGTGATCCTACAGGGGTAAGATTCAGCGAAGAAAAGCCAGCTGAGCACTTTTTGTCTTGATGAACTTAGAGGTGGACAGTGCTGCTAATTAAGGGAACAAGAGAGAATTATTCCAAGAGGGTTGGGGGAGATGCGGTGGTGGGGAAGGAGTGGGAGGAAGAAAGGAGAGAAGTTATCCCTAGAAATAAACAAAGTAAAGGCTCTGGTTGCTCAGTCAGACCGCGGAGGATTTCTTCCCCATTGGTGGACATCAGACCCCCACACACCGTGAAGATGTTGCTTTAATGAAGCTGCACGTCACGTTCTGAATTTTAAAAGCTCCTACCCTGACTCGCTGATTCCTGGTTCAGGTCTCTATGTGTGTGTATGGTGCTTGTGGGTGAGAGTGAGCAACACGGCCCTCAGTCAGTTATTCTGGGGCTACCGTCTGGGTTAAACGCTGAGGGCAAGAGATCCCAGACTCTCAGAGCCTGCCCTGTCCTGACCAGTCATAGGGGGCGAGGTGGCTTCACTCCCAACATTTCAGGACTCCCAGGGGGACCTTCCCAGGAAGGAGTCCTTGTTAGGTGTACTAAAGGAGGCTGGGACCCAGCTGGCTGCCACACACAGACACACCAGGTGCTTCTCACCTGTAGTTGGTACCCCTGCCCCCACTTCCTACTTCTGGCCTTTTGAGCTCTTCACCCTGGGCAGGCGACCATCCTTCCTGGGCTTGAATGCAGAGGCTGAACCAGATAGAAAAATGTTCTGAGGCTCCTGGGCCTCAAGACAGAACTTGGTTTGGGGGTTCGTTCTGGAGGTAACTGTGCTGGCCTAATTGGCACCAGCAGTCACTGCTTTAAAACCTGCCGGGCGTTGGGCTGCAGTCCTACCAGCCAAGGCACTTGATTGGATTTTAAGTATAAAGGGAAGTCACCCGGAGTGTGGAGGTAGGAGGTAGATCACTAAATGACTAATAGATAGTAGAAACATTGTGTTCCAGATCTCTGCGATGGCCACATAGATATCTGAAGTTCACCTGTTGGATAAAGAAAAAGGAGACCCTGTAGGAAGGAATAATCACTGACAGAATCTCCAACCTTTCTAAGAATGTGTGGTCAGAGTTGTTCTGTTCAGGGTTGGAGGCACCGTATATTTGTTCTCCTGGGTCTGCAGCACTCCCTTTCTTTTCCCTAAAATGCAGGTATTATTTTTCTTTCGGCCAACCGGCCTTCAGCATCACCTCCCCTGTCAGTTTTTCTACCTTTCTGTAGGTGCTCTTAGATTGGTTTCATTTTTTCAAGTGCGCTCTCTGCCAGAGGAAACCACACATTCAATATCAGTCTCAACGTAAACGTGCTCATCTTTCAGTCCCACTCCTTGCGATTTAATTTATTACAAATGTGTGGAGTGGGGGTGGGTTGGGTGGGAGGGCATAACCGTGGTCTGAGGTGAGGACAACCAGTTCTTTCATTTTTCTTCTTTTTCCCCTAACAAAACATTTTCATTAAACTCCACTTTCAGGTTTGGCTTGGCCTATGTTTCCCCAGCAGAGAACTGCAGGTTGGTTGGGGGGACTCGGTGGGGGTGGGGGTGGAAGGCTGGGCAGTGGGACCCTGGGTGGTGAGGGACCATAGACGTCTCAAATGAAAGTTTCACAAAGCAGTCACTGGAAATTAAAAAAAAAAATCAGACCTATTCCACCCAGGCGCCCTAAATAAATAGCCCCGTTTGCAAATTCCTATCAATTATTACGTGATGGGAAAAAATCCTATCTGGAAATAAAGCACGTGGACGTGGAGAATTTTAATTAAATCTTACTGTGGATATAATAACATGGAAGTGATTTTTCATTCGGCGCTTGCCTGCTCACCAGTGTTTTATGGCGTTTTCTTGCCTCTGACTTTATTTTAAAATATTAGACGAGGTGGAGAATTATAAACGACTCTTTCCTTATCTGTACTGCTCACATATCCAGGATCAGAGGAGCTGATTAAGAAAGAAGTCAGAGGCAACGTTGGATTCATAATGATTTGGAATAATGAATCCTTATCTCTGCTTTCCAGATTATCTGCCTTTCAGCTCCCAATGTTTTGTTACATGGGATAATTTATTGCATCTAATACATCACAATGAATCTGATGGTAGAAAGTGATGGCCGACGTTGTGAAAAGGGGGCCCTGATTTTTTATCCTGGGGCAGCGAAACTGCTTTTTGCAGTTTTTAATTGGGAAAATATAAGGTAGATCTGATTTTTTTTTTTAAAGAGCTGGGTGTAATCTTGGGCTCCTGCTTTACCACACTGCTCTTTAATTAGTGTGTCAATTTCAGGCTGAAATTAACAAGATCGACCTGAGACCAGTGCTTAGTTTCTCCCCAGCACCAAGATCCTAATTTTTAAGATGATTTATTTTTATGAAAAAGGAGATAATTAATCATAAACACTGACAAAAGCACAGAGCCAAGTTAAGATTAAGTGCCATTTGCATCTTTATAGAGAGAAATACCAGTAATGTTAATTTTTCTGAGATTCCTTCTCCCCTCGCCATCTCCTGGCCACAGAGTTCCCACCCTGACTGCTGCACACCCCAGCCCCATTCCAGGTAAACCACCACCAACAACAAAAATCAGTTCCCGTTTCCTATCGTAAAAGTGTGTGTGTGTGTGTGTGTGTGTGCGCGCGCACACACGTGTGTGTTCTTCTGGCTTTGTCTGTTAACACATGCAGAAAGTGTGTAGGCTTCCTTCCCCTGGAGCAGGGTGGTAGGTGGATCCCCCTGCTCCCCCAGACCCTCCCTCTCCACCCACCCTCCTCGGCTTCCCTCCATTTTAGAGTTAGAGAGGACACACAGCTCATTTAATGGTTAATTACAATAATTGGCATTTTTTTGTTTCTTTTGTCTTTTGCCCTAACACCAAAGGAACAAACACCATCTAAATGCAACAGGCTTTACTCTCTGCCTCTTTTAGAACAGATTTCAGAGTCCAAGGCTATCCCCAGAGTGGCCGCCCCTTCTCGCCCCAACAACCCTAGCAACTGCCCAGCTTCACGGAGGAGAAGGGGCAGGAGTCACTGGTAATTTGCTGAAGTTTTTTGTGCCTGTTGATGACTTTCTCTTTGCTTGGATTAAACAATCATTGCAAATATGCAAACCAGTGAGAGGAGATTCATACATATTCGCTCTCCAATTGTTCCTCCTGACGTCAGATCATAATTTCTTGGTAATTGGATGGCTTGCACCTGAATATGCTCATCTGAAATTCTCCACCTTTCTCTGAGTTGCAGTAGATTTTGTACTGAGGGATAGGAGAAGGACTTAATTTTTTTTTAAAGAATTCTCTTCTGTCCCCCATGGTTCCAATTGTTTTTCTTCCTCCTTTACACTTAAGAACATTTACTTTGGAAATGCGGGCACTTGGAGTGTGTTTCCTAGGAATATAATTTTTCAGGGAGTTCCAGAGTAGATTGAAGAACAGTCAACACTGGCCAGTGAAGATGGGGGTGTCACTGGGGCAGAAGCAGAGGTGGGGTTCTGTGGATCCAAGTCTACTCCCCCCACCCCCCCAGCCCGCTTAGATCTGCTAAAGGATCCTGTCTCCACCCCCCCATTCAGGTTCCTCTGCTGAGGCTGCCCTAGGTTCTCAGCTAGCCGGAGTTCGAATCTCAATTCCTGACGCGGTCCTAAGCCCTCAAGCAAAGTGAGCAGCCACATAATCATAGATTTTAAAAGCTTGAATCTTGATGATAAAGATATTTCAAATTTTAGGTTGGAGAGAGAGAGAAAGACCTGATTTGCTGGGACATTGTCCTTTATTT